CTGTGTAATGGGGATTTTAGTACTATTCACAACTATAGCTTTATTATTAGCAGGTTACATTGTGAAAGATTCATAAAAGGATTGAAATGTTTTGCCTGCAGGAGCCATAACTGTAATTGACTGTTTCACATTTGGATTGGAACAGGTTCTCTGCCTATTACTTGTTACCAGGTGTGTGTGCTGACACCATCTTTGCAATGGGAAGTGGAACAGTTGGAGTCACATGGTGGTTGCTCTAGCCTAGATCTGAGGAGTACATTGCAATGTATTTTGTGATTTTCACAGACTTTTCCAAGTTACAATATTTAAATTGGTCACTTTGGAGCCAGAAAACATTTCCTGCATCATTTCATGGCACAGATGTAACAGTAAGAGTGCCAACATGGTGCCATGACTACTCCGGAGACCAGTGTTCAATTCCCCCATAGCCATGGAAATCACTAGTTGACCCTGGGAAAGTCACATATTCTCATCCCCAGAAAGCCTAGTGATAAGTTTGCCATAAATTGGAAATGACTTGAAGGCATACAGCAACAAACTAACAATAAGAGAAACTTGACAGTAGAAAATAATACAGTAACATTACTTTTTGTGGCTTCAGGTAATGTTGAATGACAATTAAAGTTGTTTCTTTTTTTTAAAGAAATACTCCAAACACAGGTTGAAATCAATGAGGTCCATTTGTTGTTTATTCATTCAGTCAGTCACTTCCAACTCTTTGTGACTTCATGGACCAGCCCACATCAGCGCTCCTTGTTGGCCATCACCACTCCCACCTCCTTCAAGGTCAAGCCAGTCACTTCAATGATACCATCCACCCATCTTGACCTTGGTCAGTCCCTCTTCTTCTTTACTTCCTTTTCCCCAGCATCATTATCTTCTCCAGGCTTCCTGTCTTCTCATTATGTGGCCAAAGTTTTTCATCTCTACCTCTAATATCCATCCCTCTTGTGAGAATTCAGACATTATTTCCTGTAGAATGGACTGGTTTGATCTTCTTGCGATTTAAGGCACTCTCAGAATTTTCCTCCAACATCATACACAAATACACACACAAAACAAAGCATTGTGCTTGAAAAATGAGTATTTGCCCAGTTTCCCAGAAGCCTATTCTAGATTATGATGGATTCAGAATATAAGATCTAAGAAGAAAGCCTGGAGGAAATGAAGATGCAAGTGAGTTTAAATAAAACAGATCTGCACAAAGATATATGAGAAATCTGTTTGGGAAGTATCCAAAATTCCATATTGTCAGTTGTGACACCAAGCTGAGGAACATCTTTACCACCGAAAGCATGACAAGCAACAACAAAACTGCAGACTTTCTGGTGACTTGTTAGAATAGTGTTGTTTTATTTGGCTTTCAAACTCCTTCCAATTTTTTTTTTAGTAAATTGGTTAAACTTTATGGTGTCTTATACTTCTTTTAAAGGTAGTTTCTAAATCTTGTATCATTTGTTGTTGACTTTTTAAAATATCTGGTACTCTCTGTTGTTTTTACTGTGCACATTTTGAAAAAAATGTATGTAAACAAAAGGTAAAATACTGTATGAACACTCATATACCTCCTTTTCTTGTGGAGACAAGGAAATATTATAAAATTGTAAAATCTGGAAACAACTTTGGCACAATTTTTATAACTTCGAGGTAGTCCTGCATTTTCCACTGATGCTCCAATTCAATCAGGTTTTTTTCAGGTTAGCATGTTTTATAACACCTTTGGAAGAAAAAGGTCTAAAAATCTTTTGAGAAATACAATCTCTGTTGAATGACTCATTCTCCTGCACAGATTTTTCCTAATTTGGATACAGCAGTTGGATACCTGGAATAGACCTGATTAGACTTGATCCTTAAGGCCCAGGATGAGTAATAAATCTAAAATAGCCATCAAAGAAGGACAAGCATGTGAGAGTGCATTAAGGAGAAGGGCCAACAAACCTTGTGCCAGCAAACCTGACAAAACAACCAGATATCTTTTAACATTGATTTTTAAACTCTGTTGGATGAAGTAGGGGCAAGACACCAAGACCCTATGCAAGCAAAAGAAGGGATGAATTCCTAAGCATCGTTTCTGAGTTCTACTGGAAAAATTATAAGTGTAACAGTTGTTAGGTGGCATCAGAGCTCCTTGGCCCAAAGTAACTCTGTCTTGGTGCTTAGCTGAAGCAACTTGTGTGAATTAGTAAGTAAAATAAATTAATCTCTTATATAAAAAAGCAACAATGTGAAGCATGAGAACAAATGAAAGGATTAAAACCGGGATGGATAATTTGTGGCCTGCCATATGATAACAAATGAAAGTTCCCTTAACCCCTAACCACTGGTTGAAGCAGTTGGGAACTGTAAGTTCAGCAACATCTGAAACAACTTTTGAAAGTTTACTAGTAGGTCTTCCATAGATTGGATGGACAAAAGATGAAAGCTATGGTTAAGGTTAAAATAGTTAAGGATTTTTTATACTGCTCAAGAGGCCAAATCCAACTTCAGTCCAAATTTTGCTGCTTGTCATCATTTGACACATCCGTCATATTCAGTTAAGAGCAGCAGAAAGGGGTTGGGTAACAATTTTTCAGCGAAATAATACATAAAAATTGCCATTAGTTAATCACCATGATTAGCTAGACCCTGTCATTTGGTTATTTTATCTCAAGAAAGGCCCTTTGGGTCCCAAAATGGCCATTAAAATACAAGGGCAAAAAGCATCTGCACCTTTTTAAAAGACTGGTTAAAATTACATAATTTCAGCAGTTAGGGTTTTTTTGTCGCTTGGCATGTTACCACGATTTTTTACACTGCTGGTTACTAAAACTGCACTTTTATTTCTTCCTATGCATGGATACTAAGGAGACCATATGAGGTTATTTGGTCTCGGCGGTAGCCAGGGGAGCTTTTGTACAACTAAAACTTGTGCGCCAGTTGCGCCTGTAACTTGGGAAGTCTGACTTTGCCATGGTGGTCCATGCTCTTGTTACATTCCAAATAGATTACTGCAACATACTCTACGTGGGCTTGCCTTTGAAGACTGCTTGGAAGCTTCAGTTAGTCCAACGGACAGCAGCCTTCTAACCAAGGTGAAAGAAGAAAGTGCAAAAGCTGGGTTGCACTTATAAAAGAAAACCAAGATTATGGCAACCAGAGTGATTGAGAACTGGCAAACAGAGGGAGAAAATGTGGAGGCAGTGACAAACTTTGTATTTCTAGGTGCAAAGATTACTGCAGACGCAGACTGCAGCCAGGAAATCAGAAGATGTTTACTTCTTGGGAAGAGAGCAATGACCAACCTCGACAAAATAGTGAAGAATAGAGTCATCACGCTGGCAACAAAGATCTGCATAGTTAAAGCGGTATTCCCATTGGAGCTGTACCATAAGGAAGGCTGAATGAAGGAAGATGGGTGCTTTTGAACTGTGGTGCTGGAGGAAAATTCTGAGAGTGCCTTGGACTGCAAGAAGATCAAACCAGTCCATACTCCAGGAAATAAAGCCTGACTGCTCATTGGAGGGAAGGATATTAGAGGCAAAGATGAAGTACTTTGGCCACATAATGAGAAGACAGGAAAGCTTGGAGAAGACAATGATGCTAGGGAAAATGGAAGGAAAAAGGAAGAGGGGCCAACCAAAGGTAAGATGAATGGATGGTATCCTTGAAGTGACTGGTTTTACCTTGAAGGAGCTGGGGGTGGCCATGGCTGACAGGAAGCTCTGGTGTGGGCTGGTCCACGAGGTCATGAAGAGTGACTGAACGAATAAACAACAACAACAACAACAACAACAACACTTCCATAATATTACTTGAAGCCTTTGAAGTAACTCTATAAGGGCTATTCTGATACATGAGAAGAAAGATTGCCTTACTTTCCACAAAAGGCCATTTGTGACACTATCTTCCTTCTCAGTTTACTCATCTTCTTGCTAGATGCCCCTATACTGTTTCAGAGACTTCTTTCTACATCAGTGGTTCTCAACCTGTGGGTCCCAAGGTGTTTTGGCCTATAACGCCCAGAAATCCCAGCCAGTTTATCAGGTGTTAGGATTTCTGGGAGTTGAAGGCCAAAACATCTGGGGACCCACAGCTTGAGAACCACTACTCTACATGTACAAGTAAAACACATACTGAACATAAAATACATGTTCAGATAGCCTCACCCATCTTCTGACACAAATAGTCACAAAGCCAATACTATGGAACGCTCTTCCTTGGGTTCAAGAATTGCTCTGCTGTTTATTGTTGATTTATTGATTTTGTTGCTCTAGCAATAATTTTGTATTTTACTGATCAATTCAGAGGTTCTCAAAAAGGGCTGAAATCCACTGGTGGTTGTTGTTCCCATGTGAAAAGTGATGGTCTGAAGAGGAGGAGAGCATTCTTTATGTGGCACCTCTCTATAAAATTGGGAATCCCCATTTCAAAGTAGCTTCCCAGGCCATAATAGTTGCAAAATGAATTGGTTACATAGTAATATATTATTTGTAATTAGTTACTTCTAAACTTGACACATTTTTTTCACAGTGATTAAAACAAACTGGGTTTCAAAACTGTAGAATGATTTCCTCCAAAGTGGACAAAAGAATATTAAACACCAGTGTTTTTTGTGTAACATCCCATAAATACTGACAGGATTTGAGCTGGTGGTGACTGACCCTGAGAGAGATCTGTCTTGGGGTTGTGATGCATAGCTGAATTAAAACATCAACTGGCATTTGGCAGCTTTGAAAATGGCAAGGGGGAAATTTGGACCATGTGAAAGCTGGGATTTGGAGGAGGGGGGGACTGAGTGAATGGCAGATGTGTTTATGTGGTTTGGATGGCTTAGAACATGGCTTAGAGTACATGACAGATAATTTGAAAAGAAGCCAATGGACTCATGTTCTAAAGAAAAGAGAGATCAAACTAAAATGAAGCCACCAGTGACAAGATTACAATAATGATGTAAAATTATGACATGCCATTGTAGCAAAGAATGTTTCAACCATTTCTGTCATGCTTACACAATTCCCAACTGCTATTCAAGCTCTTTATTAAGAAAACTCCTGCAGCAAAGTTCAATTCAAGCATTTGACTTACAAAAATAAATGTCTTTGCTACACACAAAAAAGCTATTCAACTCCTAGAAGAGCTCTTGAAGTCGTACTGCACGCTGAACCATTATTAATCAATTTCTCAAAGTGAATGCAAACCACTATTCTGCTGATAGTCGTCATAAAACTTCTGTAGCGAATCTGGAATTCTAGGGGTCACAATAGCTAAGGCTTGTTCAAAATGCTGTCCCATAATGCATTTGGCTTGAATATCCTCCTGAAGGGCAAGTAGGGCAGCTTCTCTGCACACTGCAATTATCTGAAAAAAAGATAAAATATTATTCTTATTACATGTATTATTATTGCATTTGTTGTTGTTAGTACTACTAACCTTTAAAACAAACAGCATACTATCTATTAGTGAAACATTTTGTATCCTGGGAATCTGATATACTTCAGGAAAGAAGCAACAAAAGGCAGAATTTCCCCATAATATTCTTTTGCGTCAGAAATGTGTATGTAAGAATACCCAATGCAACTTTTTCAAAATTCTTCAACATATATTTGCATTCTGATGTTTGTTACTGTAGCATTACATGTCGAGTAAACCTTGAATATGTAGATCAGGGTTCTCAACCTTCCTAATTCTGCAACCCCTTAATACAATTCCTTATGTTGTGGTTACCCCCAGCCATAAAAGTATTTTTGTTGCTACTTCATAACTGTAATTTTGCTACTGGTATGAATTGTAATGTAAATAACTGATATGCAGGATGTATTTCCATTCACTGGACCAAATTTGGCACAAATATCCAACATGCCCAAGTTTGAATACTGTCGGGGTTGGGGGAGGATTGATTTTGTAATGTGGGAGTTGTGGTTGCTGGGATTTATAGTTCACCTACAATCAAAGAGCATTCCGTACTCCACTAACGATGGAGTTGACCCTATTTTGGCACCCAGAACTCCCATGACCAGCAGAAAATACTGGAAGGGATGGGTGGGCATTGACCCTGAATTTTGGAGTTGTAGTTCACCTACACCCAGAGAGCACTGTGGACTCAAACAATGATGGATCTGTACCAAACTTGGCACAAATACTCAATATGTACTAAACTTGGCACGAATACTCCATATGCCCAAATGTGAACACTGGTGGAGTTGGGGGGAAATAGACTATGACATTTGGGAGTTGTAGTCGCTGGGATTTATAGTTCACCTATAATTAAAGAGGATTCTGAACTCCACCAACAATGTAATTGAACCTATATTGGCACCCAGAATTCCCATGACCAAGAGAAAATACTGGAAGGGTTTGGTGGGCATTGATCTTGAGTTTTGGAGTGTTAGTTCACCTACATCCAGAGAGGAGGAGGAGGTTTTTTGTGGGGGGATTCACCATCGGTTTACAAAAAGGAAGAGAAGGACAGGCAGAGATATCTTGAACCTTCTATGCCAAAGGGCATAGACCATGAGAAATATGTGTTTGCTAATGGTCTTTGGTGACCCCTCTGACTGCGCAGCTGGTGGGGAAGAAGGACAGGGTCTTCTCGGTGGTAGTCCTCTGCCTGTGGAACTCGCTCCCCAGTGAAATTAGGTCAGCTCCTTCCCTGCTTTCTTTTAGGAAGAAATTAAAATCATGGTTCTGGGACCAGGCATTTGGACAGCAGGATTGACAGTACTTACAGTGTTTGAAGAATTGACTACAGACTATGGTCAGGCTCTAAATAGGGTCTTTGGTTGTTGAATTGGACTGGAAATGGCTACTTGATTTGATAATAATTGTTTTAAATTGTCTTTAACTTAGTGTTTTATTTATTGTTTTAAAGTGTTTGTCATATTTGTTGTATGTTGGTGACATCAAATTGTTGTCAGTTTGTAAGCCGCCCTGAGTCCCCCTTCAGGGTTAGAGAAGGTCGGGATAGAAATGTTAGAAATAAAGAAATAAAATAAATAAATTTCTTGTTTAAGAACCCTCCCTTTACCATTTTTAAAGTCAAAGTGCATGCGAGGAAAGAAGAAAAAGTGTGGAAAAGCAGCCGATTAATGTCTTAAAGCCAGAGATATGTTTTTAAGCTCTCTGGACTTCAAACAGCGGAAACAGCTTCATGTTAATGTCATTCTAAAGACACATTACTGTGGTGAAAAGCGTCTGAGGAATGTCCAGGGAGACCAAGATTTTCATGTAAGGGGGGAAACAGTGATTGATATTGACTGCACCCTTATGTGTGGAAATGAAAGAGTCAGTTGAAATACATTTGTCAGCCATTTGGTGTATTTGCCTTGTTTGTTCACTTGCTGAAGAGACTTCCACTGCCTAGATTATACAGATGGCTACCACGGTCAGTTGGGAGCTGTTTAAGAGATTTATACCTCTATCTAAACTTATTGTAATATTGATGCTAGCTCTCATCAGCACTCTGTTGCAATATGTTTTTGCCCTTTACAATATCACAAAGACATTTGAAAAAAGAAACTGAATATGCAATCCTCATACAAATAACCCTTAGCTATAGTTTGCTGCTAAACACATAGAACAGCCACATATTGTCACATATTAAACACAAATTCCCAAACAAATATTTCCCTCTTATCTACATTGGGCTTTTTTTTTTTTTAAAAAAAAGGAAACAATGAAATTTTCTCCATAGGAAAAAAAACTTGTTTGTGTCATTCTGTTGAAAAGTAGAGGTGGGTTTATGAGCTGCAAAGAATATAGTTACCTGTAACCCAGTAACATTTCAAAAAGTAAAAGAGGAGAGATGTAGTGATTGGTGTTTCCCCCCTCTCTTGAAGCCTTAGAAGAGATGGGTAATATTGTCTAGTTATTTTCTAAGTTACTTTTCAAGGGCAATTTAGAGGCATTTTGAGTGGAAGATTTTGTGCATCAATGCTGTATCCCTTCTCCAAAACATAATAAGCTAATAAGCATGATAACATATGCTCCCATCAGGTGCAACTGGTAGCAAATAAAAAAATCACGGTAAGGTAAATTAGGTACATCTGTTTTTCAGTTTCTGCCAAAGGCTTTAAGTCTTTAACAATATAATTCATGTGTGTACATCATATATGTGATGCTACGTAATAGGCTCACATAAATTGAGCGTTTTGTCCTTCTTCAGCAACAGTTCTTACTATCTGCTTGTGACATGCCAAACTTGGCACTGCATGGTTAGATCAATATTTGGTGGATATCATGCCTACATGTACTGCTCGGTAGACTTGTAAACACATGGAACAGCAGTAGATCAGATCGGGAGAAGGTAACTGGTGGACTTCTCATGTTACCAAATAGTAATTCCCACCAGCATTTGCCAAAATAGAGAGTGATGGTGGAAGTTACAGAACACACGTATCTGGTGAACCATCTCTGTAAGAAATGGACAGACATCTTCTGTGGATTCCAATGTGGCAATGCTGGGCTTAGCTGTTAGGCCCTGTCCAGAAGTCCTACGTATATCCAAAGTACTATGTTGTAGAATGAAAATGATCTAAATTATAGGATTTAAAACAGTAAGATATCACCACCAACCATGTTATCATTGCTCAGCCTCTGAAACAGATTTTGCTATGAATACCCCACCTTCTCTGTGACAATTAGGACTAGATATATTAATGGGATAAGCACGTCTTGCGAAACTGTCATCAGAGCAGAGAGCAGTGGAAATTCCAATGCAATGGAGATGGAGCCCTGGTCTTGAAAATCAATGAGAAATCTGCCACCCATTTTGCTGATTGCCCAGAAGGCACACTAGTTCTTCTGATCAGAGTTCAATATTATTATTTAGAGAAAGGATTCTAACTGAAGAAAAGAAAAATCACTGCCCACCAGTCATAGCTTCCTGGAGAGAAACCCTCTCAGGTACGAACTATTTTATTCCCAAAGCCATAGACTGATAATCTCTGACAATTCATCTGGCAGGATGAATCAGATGAAATGAATGGCTGATTCAGATCGCCTAAGTCAGGTCCATTGTGGTTTTATGCAGTAACTTTCTTCTAAAGGAGCTGAAAGTCCTTTTCAGCTTCTTTGTATTTGAAGTGCTCCAAAAAGGCTTGAAAGAGTCTTGGGGCGGGGAGGGAGCGGGAGGAAGAAATGAGCTTCTGTGTTCAAGTCTTAGGTATTTTCTCTCTCTCCAAAGTGGTTTGGTTAATGCACCGTCTGCTGGGAACACCTGTGAACCATTGAATTTAATTGGGCTGCAGCTGGTGCCGATTGTCTGTGAAGCCACTGGCAGCCCGATAGGCTGGTCTTTTTCATTGTGCTTCCTTTTCCTTTCCCTTTTCTTTCAAGCTTGCTTTCCCACCCCTGTAGATGGCTACAAGAGACTGTGTGAGAAAGGGATTAGGAACCCAAAGCAGATTGGCATCCTGTGGTGGTCTGTGAATAGTGCAAATTGTGGAGCTTTCCCCGGATGACGGCTACCTGTGAGAGTCTGCACTCGCCTGCTGTATGTGCCCCTCTTAGGAACCAGCTTTCCCACTCAGTACGAGGACTGTGAAAAGACTCCAGAATTAGGCCTTTTAAAAAGGGATGAAAACCCCTAGAGTCAAATCTACAAAGGTACTTACTCATTTCCTCCTAGCTCTTACTAGACCAGTCACATGGACATAGCTTTAATCACAAATTGGGTCAAAAGGTATTGCTAGAAAGTCAATAGAAAAGATAGGCGATTTAAGGCCACCATGTTCTTCTGGATAAGGAAGCAGGTGGCCAAAAATTGTAACTTATGACCCAACACATCTCTCTGCTGCCACCTCTAGCTTCCCATATTATATCTCTTGTTTGCATTTTACTAAATTGATTTTAAGAAGATCTTAACACTTGGGATGTTGGTTCCTGCAGTCATCGGTTTCTTGAAGAGCTGCACATATATCTGCAAATCAGGTTTGGTTCACACATTGAAAAAAGCACAGACTGGAAAGGGGACTCTAAAAAACCAGAGTGATATCCCCACAAGAGAAATATCAAAATATTCTGGAAATAATCTGAAGCTTAAGGGATGCATGTACTCTGTTTTGCAGAATACTTTAGCTCACCTTTTCCTGACTTAGTGTCCTCCAAATATGCTGTACTACAACCTCCATAATAAGCCTTTAGTTTCTGAACATAAACAAGCATTGTCTATTTTTCCTCATTTGTTCTAGATTGGAGTTCTTAAGATGTGAATGTAGATGCCATCTTAATTAAGTTTAAAGCAGTGTTTCTCAACCTTTCTAATGCAGTGGCCCTTGAATACTGTTCCTACTGTTGTGGTGACTCCCAACCATAAAAATATTTTCGTTGCTACTTCATAACTGTAATGTTGCTACTGTTAT